TCTCCAACTCCTTTCCCTGTAATGTTAACTGACTTGTCATTCTACTTTACTTAAGACTATTAAAATTGGTCCAATTAAAGAAAGAAACAACAATCTTTCCCAGAATGTGCATACTAATTTAGACCATAATAGAAAAATTCCTACAATGTAGTCAATCAGAAAATTTTCCAGAAGGCTGTCTATTGGGAATTATTTTCCTGTCTATAAAGGCAATATTATCAGCATAGCATCATGTAATCTATATAAATACCTTTGCTAGTTTTTTTTGGAAAAGATTATCACAACAAGGATATTTTTAATCATGAGGATAACTTTTTAGATAATGTTACATTTTCTAGCCACTCTTGTAAAGATTTAATGATGTTAACATTAATAACTTTACTTAAAGACCCTAACTTTTGTGAATTCTAGTTACTAACAACTGTACTCTAAAAATAAAAATCTCATTTATACTTAAGCAACCCTATTTTTTTTCCATCTTCCAAAATTGAAAGCTAAAGTGGATCTTGAGCAGTGTTGGTATAACAATAACTTATTTTCCCCATAGTGTCTACAACATAAAACACTATGGTAATGAGGGGAAAAAAAAAAAAAAACTTTCTAACAAAGCAAAAACAAACTTTTTTTGTTTGTTTTTTGATACAAACATTTATTATGAGGTTAACAACATTTATATATAAAGCACCAATAAGAGTTATTTCTTATAACCATTATTTGTCATCACTCACTTATAGGTGTTATCAATAACTTTGGAATAACATCGCTTTTACTCAATGGCTTTGTGTGAAGGGAATTGGAGGGATCAACTTCCCTTTAAGTTAGCAAACACACACACAAATATATTTCATTGAGGTTACCTTTGCATTCTGGTTGCCTTCCCGTCCAACTGCCATTCGCTAAACATGTTCTTTCTTCTGAGCCATGAAGGATATAACCAATATCACAAGCAAAACGCACAGTACTTTTAGTTCTGAAATCACTTTCCTGTCTAGAACCATGACCGGGAGTACCCGGATCACCACAAGTACCAGTAGCATCACCTGAAATTCAATAAGTTAAAATTAAATTAGTTCAATAAACATTTATTAAGTATATGATTTCTTATAAGCATTTGTGTTGTGTGTGTATGTGTGTGTGTGTGTATGCTGCATGTTAACATGATAAGTTGACTGGATAAAATCATAATTAATCACAATTTATGTTTCTCATCTGACTCTGGTGAGAATAAGAAACTGTCTTAAAAAACAAACCAACCAACAAACAATAGATGTTTCTGAGAAGTGTTATTTTCCTATCAGTAAAATTTGGAACCATTAAACAGTTTAAAGACATTTCCAGAACCTACTTAATATTCCAGAAGAAAGACTGGGCAATCTACTTCCACAGTGATACCACTTCAGAAAGCCAAGGAAGGGTCGCTATGAGTCGACTCTATGGCAGCGACATCCTAATGTGTAATTTAAAACTGATAGTAGTATGTGTACAAATGACAATGGATCTACAAAACTAAACCTTAAATGAATAAATATATAAATAAATAAACTGGATTTGGTCCTTTCCATTTTTCCTCCTCTGAGTTTCCTGATTATTGATATCTCTCTTTTTAACTAGAACTGTGATGCATTGTTAGACAGTGTTAATATTACTGTGATACATCCTGTGGTCCACAATTTCACCCTATAATTTTCCTTACCAAAGATCCTTGACCAAAGTTGAAGTAGTTTCAACATCTAAGAGAAGTTTATCAAATTTTCAGCTTAAAAATTAATTAATTAATTGATTAAAAAGTAATCTTACTACTCGTTTATTGAAGTATCATATTATCAGGGCAGTAGGGACTCAGGAGTTATATGTTGCCTACTAATAGCAAAGAAAGTAAGAATAGATAAGTTGCTTTAAAAATAAAAATACATACTGGCTTACTGTAATAGTAATATAAATAACAGGAGTGTTATACTTTTTTTTTTCTTTTGCAAACCCTGACCTCTTGATCCTCTCCCATGTGAAGTATTTTTGTAAGTGCACTATGCAGCATTTTTACAACAATATGTAAAAAAACAAAAAAAATTAGCATAATGTGCTTCTGAAAATACCTCATGGGGGAGAAAACCTGATTGGCAAAAATCAAACATATAACACATGGCTATCGATGTAAAAATATGGTAATTAAATTTATAACATTTAGAGTTCTGTTGAAGAATTACGCTATTAAGTAAACCGTTGTACTGCCAGTTCTGCACCATTCTCACAATGTTTGCTGTATTTGAGCTCACTGTAGCAGCCACTGTGTTGATCCATCTTGTTGATTGTCTTCCTATTCTCACTGACCCTTTGCTTTACCAAGTTGATGCCCCTCTTTATAACATATCCAAGTACATAAAAGGAAGTCTTGTCATTTTTGCTTCTAAAGAGTATTCTGATTGTACTCTTTCTAAGATATATTTGTTTGTTCTTCTGGAAGTCCATAACACCATCATTCAAATGCATCATTTATTTGCTGGTCTTACTACTCTTCACTTTTAAAAAGTTATGTAGAACTGAATTTTAATAGAATATAGCTCTTAATAAGACTTCTTTAGGAAAAAATATGTTTTCTATTTCCTAAAATGGAAAAGCTACTTAAGCATGAGTGGTTTTACTATTTTAATGAACTTTAAACAGAATAACAGTGTAAAACTGCATAATTATTAGACACAGGAGAGTTCAAAATATGTGTTGTTGTTAGGTTCTCTGAAGTCAATTCTGACACAGAGCAACCATATGCACAACAGAACAAAACACTGCCTGATCCTATGTTGTTGCTGTTGTTGTTATGTGCCGTCGAGTAGGACCCTACTCATAGCGACCCCTCCTTGCATTTCCAAGGCAGTATCACTATGGAAGTAGATTGCCCAACCTTCCTTCCGAGAAGTGGCTGGTGGGTTTGAACTGCCAGCCTTCTGGTTAGCAGTCAAGTGCCTTAGGCACTATGCTACCAGAGC